TAACATTAAAAGTACAAAGAATCTGCTCAAGATGATAAATTGAGAAGTTTATCAGGTTATTTTCATACTCTACCTACCTTACTTATGAATAATTGCCCAGTTAATATCCTGGTGGAAATTAATAATGATGAAAATTGTCAAAATACAAGATAAATGGAACTTTTTTTATAAACATATGAACATAATGCACCAGTCATTTATAACACTGGCATCCCACTGTCTGGGCCAGAGGAGATAGTGGGAATAATGCCCCGGGTGCACCAGTTATTTATAACACTGGCATCCTCACCTCTGGGCCAGAGGAGATAGTGGGAATAATGCACCAGTTATTTATAACACTGGCATCCCCACCTCTGGGCCAGAGGAGATAGTGGGAATAATGCACCAGTTATTTATAACACTGGCATCCCCACCTCTGGGCCAGAGGTGATAGTGGGAATAATGCACCAGTTATTTATAACACTGGCATCCCCACCTCTGGACCAGAGGAGATAGTGGGAATAATGCACCAGTTATTTATAACACTGGCATCCCCATGTCTGGGCCAGAGGAGATAGTGGGAATAATGCCCCAGGTGCACCAGTTATTTATAAACACTGCCATTCCCATGTCTGGGCCAGAGGAGAAAGTGGGAATAATGCCCCAGGTGCACCAGTTATTTATAACACTGGCATCCCCACCTCTGGACCAGAGGAGATAGTGGGAATAATGCACCAGTTATTTATAACACTGGCATCCCCATGTCTGGGCCAGAGGAGATAGTGGGAATAATGCCCCGGGTGCACCAGTTATTTATAACACTGGCATCCCCACCTTTGGGCCAGAGGTGATAGTGGGAATAATGCACCAGTTATTTATAACACTGGCATCCCCATCTCTGGGCCAGAGGAGATAGTGGGAATAATGCACCAGTTATTTATAACACTGGCATCTCCACCTCTGGGCAAGAGGAGATAGTGGGAATAATGCACCAGTTATTTATAACACTGGCATCCCCACCTCTGGGCCAGAAGAGATAGTGGGAATAATGCACCAGTTATTTATAACACTGGCATCCCCACCTCTGGACCAGAGGAGATAGTGGGAATAATGCACCAGTTATTTATAACACTGGCATCCCCACCTTTGGGCAAAGAGATAGTGGGAATAATGCACCAGTTATTTATAACACTGGCATCCCCACCTCTGGACCAGAGGAGATAGTGGGAATAATGCACCAGTTATTTATAACACTGGCATCCCACCTTTGGGCAAAGAGATAGTGGGAATAATGCACCAGTTATTTATAACACTGGCATCCCCACCTCTGGGCCAGAGGAGATAGTGGGAATAATGCAACAGTTATTTATAACACTGGCATCCCCACCTCTGGGCCAGAGGAGATAGTGGGAATAATGCACCAGTTATTTATAACACTGGCATCCCCACCTCTGGACCAGAGGAGAAAGTGGGAATAATGCACCAGTTATATTTATAACACTGGTATCCCCACCTCTGGGCCAGAGGAGATAATGGGAAATAATGCACCAGTTAATTATAACACTAACATCCCCACCTCTGGGCCAGAGGAGATAGTGGGAATAATGCACCAGTTATTTATAACACTGGCATCCCCACCTCTGGGCCAGAGGAGATACTGGAATAATGCACCAGTTATTATAACACTGGCATCCCCACCTCTGGCCAGAGGAGATAGTGGGAATAATGCACCAGTTAGTTATAACACTGGCATCCCCACCTCTGGGCTAGAGGAGATAGTGGGAATAATGCACCAGTTATTTATAACACTGACATCTCCACCTCTGGGCCAGAAGAGATAGTGGGAATAATGCACCAGTTATTTATAACACTGGCATCCCCACCTCTGGGCCAGAGGAGATAGTGGGAATAATGCACCAGTTATTTATAACACTGACATCTCCCCCTCTGGGCCAGAGGTGATAGTGGGAATAATGCACCAGTTATTTATAACACTGGCATCCCCACCTCTGCAGCACATTGAGATGGTGTTGTTTTTTTGTGTTTTTTGGGGGGGTAACATTGAATATTGAAAGATATATCCAACTTACAGTGCTGTCGCATTTTCTGTGTGGATTTTACTTTCTGACTGTGTCTGCAAGGTTGAATTTTAGTAATAGAAGTTTAACTTTAAAGACCCTTAATTTAAAGTCCTGGGTATACCCTTGGGGTAGGATTATTGTGTTTACAATTTAGTTGTATATTAGTGTCATAGAAAAACTATGTGTCAAAATGCAATATAATAGTAACACTGGAGTTATAAGTGGAAAAGTAGAACATCAAAAAACAAGAGCTGTCGGTAGGACAGCAACGCTCGACTATTCTTAGTGCTTGATAGTAAATAAAATGCTTGATAGAGTTACCTCCTCCTGTTTACAGGTTGGGGTCATGATGGTGAACAAGTGTGCAAAGTTTCAAAGCCATATGTCAATGGACTTTGAAAATATTTGAACTATTACAAAAACTTTAACGTAAATTCTAAGTCGAAAAAGGGGCATAATTCTGTCAAAATGCTTGATAGAGTTACCTCCTCCTGTTTACAGGTTGGGGTCATGATGTTGAACAAGTGTGCAAAGTTTCAAAGCCATATGTTAATGGACTTGGAAAATATTTGAACTATTACAAAAACTTTAACGTAAATTCTAAGTCGAAAAAGGGGCATAATTCTGTCAAAATGCTTGATAGAGTTTCCTCCTCTTGTCTACAGGTTTGGGTCATGATGGTGAACAAGTGTGCAAAGTTTCAAAGCCATATGTCAATGGACTTTGAAAATATTTGAACTATTACAAAAACTTTAACGTAAATTCTAAGTCGAAAAAGGGGCATAATTCTGTCAAAATGCTTGATAGAGTTACCTCCTCCTGTCTACAGGTTGGGGTTATGATGGTGAACAAGTGTGCAAAGTTTCAAAGCCATATGTCAATGGACTTTGAAAATATTTGAACTATTACAAAAACTTTAACGTAAATTCTAAGTCGAAAAAGGGGCATAATTCTGTCAAAATGCTTGATAGAGTTACCTCCTCCTGTCTACAGGTTGGGGTTATGATGGTGAACAAGTGTGCAAAGTTTCAAAGCCATATGTCTATGGACTTTGAAAATATTTGAACTATTACAAAAACTTTAACATAAGTGGTTACGCCGACGCCGACGCTCGGGTGACTGCAATAGCTCTACTTATTCTTATCGAATAGTCGAGCTAAAAATGAAGAAAAAAAAAGAATGTCAGTTATAATTTTTGGCCCAAAAAATGTTGAAAATATTTTAATACATAATCTTCTTGAATAGTACAGTTGATTTAATGATTTAGGTGGTCTGCCTCTAAGCTTAGCTTGTGTTACAACCATGCTTTCCTATATGATACCAGTACTGGTCAGATTTCAGAAAACCAACTGGAAATTGGTTCAGATCATCCTCAAACTTCTGTTTCAACCAGATCAAATAAGTTTAAATTTAAGAATAAGAAAATGATTAAGAATAACTTATAAGTTTAATAATAAGATGTAAGTTAAGAGAATAAGATGCCATGTCTAAAGTTACGGATAAAATACAAGTTTAAGAATGAGAAACATGTTACAATATTATTGAAATTAAGAAAACTGATAATTTGAATATAATTTCTAAACAATCATATCAAAACAAAACACGATTCAGTTCTCTAAACTTTAGGAAATTTATCTTGAATATATATATGTCAGGAAATAATCACTTTTGTGAGTATTGTTTAAGTAAGGACAATGTTGTTTACAGCTGTATACTTTATAACGTTGTGTAAAATATACAAGAGATGATAGATATTGTAGATGATATTTTAACTACCGGTTTGTCAATCCGTTGTGCAGTGATGAAGCAGTTTACATGCATAGTTTCATGCGGCAGTTTTTACTGCAGTATGGCTTTATGATATTTAATTATTGGGAATATTAAAGATGCTATTCAGTTACTGTATATATTTTCCTCAGGGAATATTGTTATACATTGTATATTAATTATTGATAGTTGAAATAAATAATTTCAATATTTAGATTTTGATTAGTGTATCATCGATATTTCTGTTACCTCTCGGGTTATTTTATGAGTTTAATTGCTGAAATTTGGTATTGTAAATGGCTATTTTAGGGAGTTGAAAAACAAATTTACCATCGGTATGTTTGTTTATCAGTTATCGGTACTCAGTTATTCTACATGTGTTGATAAATTGCAGAAGTACCGGTAATAAATATTTTAGGTAGTCAACATATTTCTAACATTGTTTGCCTTACAATAGAATAATAATGAAGTAAAGAAAAGATGAAAAAAAAAAAATTTGTTTATGCAGCAAAATGAATTGTACTGTTAAGACTTCAAATCGGAGAGAGAATGATTTGCTAATTGTGGAGTTTGTTTGGATATAAAGCTCGTGAAATACAACGCAGCTATTCTTTACGATATGACTGCCAGTCTGTGATATGAATATTATATTCCTATCTATATTATAGCACAGAGAAACTGATTGCTTTTAACAAAGGGACAGTTGTACCACATGAAGAAAAAAGTGTAAATTGGATATAACAGTGCGCAGTTTCAGCTTTGAATAGGATATTTGTTCAAAGTGTAGTGTACTTTTGCTTTGTACTTTGTCCTTATTGATATTTTCAGTCTGTCTGTGTCAGATTCCTGGCTCAGTGGTAATAATCTGATTAAAAAATAATATTTCAGATATTAGAAACCGAAGGAATATTCCTAGGGCGATTATAACTTTAACAGTATGTTTGTGATTACTTACTATATAAAAAACGGGAGATTTGTGATTGAAAAACCGAAGGAATATTCCTAGGGCGATTATAACTTTAACAGTATGTTTGTGATTACTTACTATATAAAAAACGGGAGATTTGTGATTGAAAAACCGAAGGAATATTCCTAGGGCGATTATAACTTTAACAGTATGTTTGTGATTACTTACTATATAAAAAACGGGAGATTTGTGATTGAAAAACCGAAGGAATATTCCTAGGGCGATTATAACTTTAACAGTATGTTTGTGATTACTTACTATATAAAAAACGGGAGATTTGTGATTGTTTATCAGAAGCTGATATTTCTCTTTCTAACTTAAGTGTTACAGTTACAGTTTTTTGCAAGAATCTTCATATAAATATATACATTTCAGTGTAGAGAATGGATTTAAGTTTTTGTAATTGAGAAGTTAATGGCTCTAAGTGGAAAGATAATGTTTCTTGTGTTAAGTTAATAGATATTACAATACAAAGTGTATAAATTCATACTTGAACGGAATTCTTTGCTTGGTATATAATGGGAACGTACAAACTAGGGATATCTAAGGTAAGTTTTTTGAAAAGAGGAAGTTTAGAGATAAATGCATAAAGGAGTTATTTACAATTAGTAAAATATTTTCATAATTGAAAAAGAAAAAAAAATTAAGATTAGTATGTTGATTTATGGTAAATTTCTATAGAGCACAGATTTATTAGAGATGTGACATATGAATAAAATGATTCAAATTTATTTTCTTCAGAAGTTTTGACACATACTGGACCAATCTTGAATATTCTGTACTTTTTATCAGCCACTTCCATTATTACCTCACATTTGATTTGTATGTGAAGATGTTTTCCGTTAAAATATTGAAGAATGTGCGGATAAGATTTCAACACTTTTCTTTATTCACAATCATGATATAATACCAATATGATAAGCGATTCTCTGAAATTAACAAATAAAACAAACTAAATATTTATTGCAACGCATTTGAAATAAAATACAATAAATTGTCTAAAATAATAATGTTAATACAAATCATAAATATACGATGTTACCTTTACAATTATAGACTTAAATCTAGGCAAATAATAATGTTATTTTATATTCCCGCAAATAATTCCGTTTATAATTTAATTCACGGCGAATATTGCAAAGTTCATCATCATTTAAAAAAAATTGAATTTACTATTGAAATTCATACATAATAAATTACTAGCTTACCGATTATGATCTACTTTCCATTGGAAAACATCAATAAACAAATACATGAACAATTTTAAGCACTTCCGCCCAAGGCAAAACAACATATCAAAGTGACGGTTAATGACGTCACCGTAAAACAATTTTATGACGTCCTTTTACTGGAAACAAAATAAGACGTTACGTTTGGCGGAAATAGTGAAGCTATCTTAAATTGAAAGAGTCAAACAATGTCTTTATTGTTTTTAATAGTAAATACTATCAGACAAATCAAACTATGAAAATTCAGTGATTATAAATAAAATAAATTTACAATTAAGAACTATAATTCTTACACTATGTCTCCCTCGCCAAGAGGTTGGGGTCGGACATGGGTGGTTCTACTCAGGTGCCTGTTTGTGCCTGAAATAATGCACAGACCTGAGGTCTTCCTTCACCAGTAAGGCTGAAATGTCTCCATATGGCCTTTACTGTGTTGGTATGACGTAAAACCGATTCAAAAAGGTTAGTGCCGGTCAGACCTTGAAACAATTGCCCCTGGCAAACATTGGTTTGATTGGTAGAATCTGGCCCCTGACATTGAATTCTTTCAGAATGCTTATACAACTATAAAGATAGCACACAGAAGGTCACTTGTTCTATTTGGGTTCTGGGTTCAGCTGCAAATAATTTTGCAGAGGCACACCAAATATCTCCCTCTATCAGTTAAGCAGTAAATTTCACTTCCCTGTTATGGTTTGATTATTTAATTTTTTTTATTATGTACAAGGTTTTGTAGATTGTTAAACTAATGACTTTATAATTATGAAATCACTTGTATTTTTAAATCTTAATACATTTTCCTGGTTGGGAAAACTATGAAAGTGTTAATATGATTTTTTTTAGTTAAAATCTACATAAGACTTTTAAAGGAGCTCTGCTGAGGTCCCAAAGCCTAAAAAAATTAAATTTTGTAAATTTAAATTGATTACTCTGCAAAAATAAAGTGAGCATATGACCTGAAATTTTGCACACAAGTTACTGGGTCCAGACCTACATCAAATTTAAAAAAAAAAATCCAGTCCTGTTATGTCAAAAAAACCTCAATGAATTTCCTTCAAGCAGGTTCAATATAATTTCCGAAAATGTGACATGATTTTGAAAAGGCAGTGATCATGAATTTCCAGTCAAGTTTGCTACATCACATGCCAGACATGTCAAGTAGTTTTAAAATGCCTGTTTCATGCATTATACACTGTATGGTCATGTTGGTTGAATAGTAATTATAACATCTGCATTCATCATGATGATAATTATGTGGCTTTATATTGAGTCACATGTTTGACATGAGGATTTATCAGGAGTGCATGTATGAGGATGTTTGACAATATTTACCTGAGACTCTTTAATTTTCGTAAGCATTTTCGTTAGTTTCGGTAATTTATTACGATTTACTAATTGATTTTTAATGATAGGATTGTTCATGATACTTTTTGTTATAAAAACGTCCCAATGGCCTAGTAGTAAATATAATAGCATAGCAGTCCCAAAACCTCAACAAACAATTATTTTTTCAGATTTCTTTAATTATCTTTTTATGATGTGCAGCATTAGTGGATGAATCATTTCCTTATCTTTTTGTGTCTTTTCTTAAAAAAATCATAACTTTGATACAGTGTATATAGATCTGTATGTAACTTTTCATAATTTCAATTTGCCAATGGATGATTGGCATGCACAAAACTTAGTAGTCAAGTTTCACAAAATATAATAATAAGAAATAAAAAAATAAAAAGAAATGTTACATTGAGATTCAAACTTACAACCTTCAATTTGAAACTAAAAGTCTTAACTCCTTACCACTGAGTTAGGCAAGTGTTGTGTTGGTAACTTTAAGTTATACATAAACCAGGTAAACCGTAATGCCATACTTTAAAATCCGTATGATTTACTTCGGAATCCGACAATTACCGACAAAAGGTAATTGAACATTCAAATGTCTCGGGTCAATATTGCCAGACAATACATTTTGTATTACAAGTGGAATGTTTGGTATAAAAACTTTTCATAAATATAAGGACCTTTCATGAGTATAGGGTCTGTTCATGAGTATGAGGACTTTAGATGATAATTGGACTCATAACTATGATATTTTATAGACTTTTCATGAGTATGAGGACTGTTCATGAGCATGAGGACTGTTTATGAATACGAGGACTTTTTATGAGTATGAGGACTTTCCATGAGTATGAGGACTGTTCAGGAGCATGAGGACTGTTTATGAATATGAGGACTTTTCATGAGTATGAGGACTTTCCATGAGTATAAGAACTTGAAAATGTATCACATTTATAATAAGTACATGTATGAAGCTGTAGCAGCAGTCTTTTGGTTGATTTGAGAAGGTTCCTAGTAAGTTTCATGTTTTGAGTTGAAAGGATTTATTGTAATTTTCAGGTTGGATTTGAAGCTTTACCAGAAATCTTATGTTTGATTTGAAAGAATTTGCAGTAAATTTCATGTTCGATTTGAGACAATTTATTGTAAATTTAATGTGAGAGGATGTGAATTTCATGTTTGGTTGGTGAGGATTTATATTAAATTTCATTCAGATCTGAGATCATTTATAATAAATTTCATGTATGGCATTTGATTTGAGTGGATTTGTTGTATATTTCATGTTTGAGTTTAGAGGATTTATTATACATTCATGTTTCATATGAGAAAATTTATAGCAAATTTCATGTTTGATTTGAAAGGATTAAAAGAAGTCAGGATATATAATAATGTAGACCAGATCTATTACTTCGGCCTACATGTACACACCTGAGATTTTGTGTTGATGTTGATAATGACAAACAGATTGACCCCTATTGATTTTCAAAGAACACTCTGGTTGGATCAATAAGTTAATATAGAACACTTTGGTTTAAAGACTTAAGAATTGTTTTGGAGATTGAACACATCCTGTTGTTTAGAACACCATGTAACATGACTTTAATTGGTTACAATTTTCAGGTCATAAATCTTTCACAAACATCTCTTGTAAAGTTGATTGTAAATATAGATTTAGGTCCAGTGTAGAAATTGTATTATCACAGATCTAAATCTGTGAATATTGATCCTAGGGGATCTCACGATTTAAATGCGTTTAAAATATTTAACATAATATACAGTTGATCTAGAATTTATTTTCCGATTTGTTTGCAGGTGTATCCGTATGGCAGCAACGTACATGTGATTGAGGGAATGGGCTCACCTCCCATCTCCCATATATATTTACTGCAAGTATTAGAAAGAGAGCCTGACAGTATTAAATGGTCTACACCAAGAGAGGTTATTATTGGCAAGGGAGCTTCAGGAAAACTTGGACTCAAACTGAATGCTTACAGGGTATGTTAGGAGAATTTTCTTGTTTGATTGATAGTTCTTTTGTTTCCTTTTTTTAGCTCACCTGTCACAAAGTGACAGGGTGAGCTTTTGTGATCGCTTTTCGTCCGGCGTCCGTCCGTAAACTTTTACTTTAGATGACATCTCCTCATAAACCACTAAGCCAATTTCATCCAAACTTCACAGGAATGTTCCTTTGGTGGTCACCTTTAAAAATTGTTCAAAGAATTTAATTCCATGCAGAACTCTGGTTGCCATGGCAACCGAAAGAAAAAACTTTAGATTTCTTCTTTTGAAAAACCCTAAGAGCTAGAGCTTAAATATTTGGCATGAAACATCTTCTAGTGAATGTCTACCAAGTTTGTTCAAATAAAAGCCCTGGGGTCAAAATTGGCCCCACCCCAGGGGGTCATTGATTTTCCCAATATGCATATAGTAAAAACTTAAAAAATCTTCTTTTAAAGCACCCAAAGAGCTAGAGCTAAGATATTTAGCATGAAACATCTTCTAATGAGTGTCTACCAAGTTTGTTCAAATAAAAGCCCTGGGGTCCAAATTGGCCCCGCCCCAGGGGGTCATTGATTTTCCAGTATATGCATATAGTAAAAACTTAAAAAATCTTCTTTTAAAGAACCGAATGAGCTAGAGCTAAGATATTAAGCATGAAACATCTTCTAGTGAGTGTCTACAAAGTTTGTTCAAATAAAAGCCCTGGGGTCAAAATTGGCCCCGTCCCAGGGGTCATTGATTTTCCTTATATATGTATATAGCAAAAACTTAAAAAATCTTCTTTGGAAAAAAACAAATAGCTAGAGTTTAGATACTAAGCATGAAACATCTTCTAGTGAGTGTCTACAAAGTTTGTTCAAATAAAAGCCCTGGGGTCAAAACTGGCCTTGCCCCAGGGGTGTCATTGTTTTTAACTATATGTGTAAAGTAAAAACTTAAAAAATCTTCTTTTAAAAAACCTAATGAGCTAGAGCTTAGATGTTTAGCATGAAACATCTTCTTATGGGTGTCTACCAAGTTTGTTCAAATAAAAGCTCGCCCTGTCGGGGGAGGGGAGATCATTGTTTTTCATTATATGTGTGTAGTAAACACTTAACATCGTGAAACATCTTCTAATGAGTGTCTTCCAAGTTTGTTCAAATAAAAGCCCTGGGTTTAAACTGGCCCCACTCCGGGGGCCTATATACAGGTGAGGGATCTCAGGGCCATCATGGCCCTCTTGTTTTTTAGATTTTTTTTGGGGGGGGGGGGGGGGGGGGTTGTTTGGTTGAATTTTTAGTTGAATTGTTTGCATTTATTTGATATTGGAATTTCAAATATTTTTTTTTTTATTTGACTAAGAGTTGAACATTTATTGCATTTATTTGAATACCTGAAACAAATTATTTTTCGTGTTAAAATAGGCCTTATATATAAGATTGATTGGTTGAAAAAAATCAGGCTTAAAAAATATTATCACAGTGTATGTGGTTAAGCCTAATCTAACTTTTTGTACTTAAATATTTATTATAGATTTTGATGTGTTTGAAAGAATGTAAATTTTTTGCAAGATTGCTTCATCATTAATCAATTCAGCAGGAACTAAAACTGTTTTTATCCTTATTTAAGAGTGTCCTGCTGATGACAATTATCTAACCATGGTTATGTGTGGTTGTGAAATCTGATAAGATTCCAGTGTTGTAGTTTATACAAATAAAGTTGTATGATGCATGTTGAGTTTATTCAAAGATAAGGCATGCTAAATTCCTCTAATGGATTTTTGACTTTGGAGCAGTCCATTTTAAGTTTTAAGGGATTCCATGGTTAAAACACTGATGTGTAGGTAGGCTCGGCTGTATACTGGTGGTAAAGGCTGATCACTTTAGGTTCCCACAGGGTAAATGGGTAAGATAAGACATGCTTATACGGGATTAACCTTCTTACTGTGAAATATCTATACAAGGAAATGAGTAAAAAACTTAATTCTTTTGGGCTTTTTTTGTTACACATACATGCACAAGATTGTTAAGAAAATAGATATAAATTTTGAGTGCTTTGTTGTAGAATAATGCATGGTTCGAGTTCAAATGTACAAGAATATAATCACAAAGTGAAAGACCAAATGGTGATCAATTACAAAACATGTAAACAATAAACCTTGAATCATTATAATACTTTAATGTGAGAAAATTTAATATCTATGCCATCCTAACATGCTGATGAAAAAGAGAATTGATAAAAGTATGTTGAACTTCATTGAGCATAGAAGTTATTTTTCTGACATTATTTGGTTAATTGACGTCACATCTGACGTCATATGACATGTAAAGCATTCATTTTTTATGCTGTGCATATATCGTGTAATAATGCACTTATTTGCCCTATATGTAGGATAGAGGAAATGTGTGAAGTGTGTTAGAGTTTAAAATAATGCTTAAGTATGTCATTATCCCCAAATATGAGATATTAAGAAATCGTATTAAGATACAGGATTTTGTGTCATAAATGAAAGCTTCCATCCTAATATTAAAGCTGTCTGTCAAAGCTGTAAATGTTAAGGTTAGTATATTAAAGTAAAGTTGACAGTTTACCAGCTCATTGGCAAGGATCCCTAGAGGTCTGGCTCATATAAGTTAGAAATAGGCAAATAAAAAATGATACATGTACAATATATTGAGAATGTTAAATGAGTGTGGATTTCATATGGAATTATTGAACAAGTTGAATAACGTTTTTACAGAATCAGAAAAACTTGACAAATTATGTGATAAATTTAGATATTCAAAATATGAGCCCCACGATGACAAAACCAACATAGTGGGTTTGCGACCAGCATGGATCCAGACCAGCCTGCGCATCCGTCCAGTCTGATCAGGATCCATGCTGTTCGCTTTCAGTTTCTCTACTTGTTATAGGGTTTTTAAGCGAACAGCATAGATCCTGATCAGACTGTGCGGATGCGCAGGCTGGTCTGGATCTATGCTGGTCCCAAACGCATTATGTTGGTTTTGTCATGGCGTGGCTTATATGTATCTGATGTGTAAAACTTACTCTTTCCATGTAATGTTTTGTTTTCGAATTGTTCAATGATTGAAGAGTTGTTTATTTGTTTCAGGGTGAATCTGATTGGTATACCATTGTGACAAAAGTTAAAGAAGATTGTTGCATCCACAGAGGATCTTTGAACGTATTTGATCGTCTTATATCAGTTGATAAAGAAAGTATACTTCATGTACCGAAAGATAGTGTGCTTAAAAGACTGAAAAATCTAGGATCTAGAATAGTTCTTACTGTCACATGTCCAGTTAGTATACCCAGTCGCTATGTTGGTACCCAGCATGTAAACATAAGTGAACACAGGCATTGTTCTGGTTCCTTGGAGAAATTTAAAACACTGGTACCGAATGCTGAAAATTTCAATTCGTGTGATTCAAATAGATTAGGCAAAGACAATCTTAATGCTGGTGTAGCTCAAGATATTGACTTGAATGAATTTGGAAAAGATTTATGTGAAGGGGAGAGAATATTAGCAAGGAATAAAAAATGTGATCAACAAAAGGAGACTACTTTTACTGAAAGTGAACATAGTGATAATAGACTTAGTAATGAATCAGAATCGAGCATTTTATGGTTCAGTGATTCAGACTTGAGAGATGGTTCGAGAAATATCAAACGTGGACACAGTCAAGTCTCTGGCAGCAGTAGCAACCAGTCTGTAAGCTCTGATTTGCCTCTTCTCCAAAAGACTGAGAAAATGAGGAGAGCAAAAGAAGGCAAGTCTGTACGTCCATTGTTTAAAGGAGGTAGTACAGAAAGTCCTGACCGTGCAGAACTTGAGCCGCTGAACATTCGAACATCAGGCTCTCTGTCACCAGTGCCCCATGGAAGAACAGAGAAGTTTAATTTGTCACCTCAGTTGTGTATATCCAAGGATTCTGCAGTTTCTATACAAGATATCATGGTAGAGGAGCAGAGTTCATTGCCTGTACAGTCTGGTATGTATTCACAACAAAAATTGTAAAATCTTTATAGATTTGTTACCTTTTTAGTTGGTCTTGCATTGTTTAATCTGTGAGGACACTAGTTTCAAAATTACATATGCATGTGCCTGTAATAAAACTTATTAAGATTTTATGATTTAAACAAGTTTTTTGTCAAAATGATTACTTGCTTTAGTTTTTTTGTTTGTTTTTTTTTTGGTGCAGAATAGTATCGTCTTTTATGCAAAAACTTGTCAGTTACATTTTGCTTTAAAATTGAGGATAATCTTTTATTATTAATTTTCTTAAGTAGATAGTGATAGAAAGTTTTTCTAAGTTTGCATTGATTAATAAATGATTGAATTGACCTCCTGGAATAGCACCAGTCCAATTCCCATTTTATTGCAAGAAAAAGGCACTTTGCTTTGTCTTTAAAGTATCATTTTTTTGTGCAGTTTTTTATACATATTTTATACGTTTAAACTTTAGTTTTCTAGAATAGTAATGTTCCCAGGTAAAAGACTTTCAAGTTTTCAACATGGGATGAATATATAAGGGCAAGACAGTTGAGATGAGTGACTGAGGGCAGCATTTGTATTGTAACGCAGGTGTAATTCTATAATAGTATGGCTCTTTTATGTATTGGAGTTGTTTGTGAAATCAAAACTAAACTTGTGATTTTATTATGTCATCCCTTGATTTAATTGAAAAAAAAAACAAAATAAACAACTTCACTTGAAACAGTTTTCTTTTTTGTGTGTTGTGATAGATTTGTATGATCTGAAGATAAAGTTAATATTGTAACAGGATATCTCTGTAGTGATAGTTAAGGGTGAGCTTTCAAATCTTGACAGAATTAAAGGAGTATTGTAAAGATATAATGGAATCCATTATTGCAGTTTTTATGTTTATGTGAAATTTTGTAGCCTAAATTAAGTTTATTTAGGCCAAGTGTATCTTGTACGTTTCACTATACAAACTACAGTGGTTAATAGAATAGTAGGCCAGTTTTTCACTTTTTATACCACCACTACTTGTTTTATATAGATTTTCCCTATCTGTCCATCCATTCTGCTGCCAGAAAAAGTAAACAGGGGGCCAGCTATCTGTAAAACAGAACTATAGAATAAGGGGCCCTTAAAGAAGTGGCTCCTTATTCCATTACAGTCACTTGTCAGTCTGTCTGTAGAGTGACAAAACAGTGGTTTGTGGGGGAATCCATGTCCTAGAACACATTAATTTTCTAGTTTTGAGATTAATCTATGATAGTTTATTAATAATATTTCAGTTAATTTTATCTTTGTATGTTCTTGTGAAATCTCTTTCAATAAACCAGTTTTACATAAAAAAGAAGGGAAAAAAACCAACTCTATCTGTTTATGGAAAGTTTATAATATACTATATATACAATGTGTTTATCATTATTTAGTTCCTGAACAGGTCTAGTTACTGATATATAAATATTTTAATGGTGTTTCATATCTATTTATAAAAAGCAGTTTTGAAATGTCAGCGTGTCATTGGTCAGTATCCACCAATCAGATAATAGGGATTATTTATTATTTTTAGCACTATAGTAACAAACACTGTTATTTTTATGGTTGTTTGAAAGTAGTTTTAATGATGTAGGGAAAGTTTTCAGACAAAGCTCTTCTTCTAGACACCTAGACAATGGTTACATAGCAGCATATGAAATATTGATAGTAACCTGAAGAGGACAGACTAGTTGAGACCACTTTATGTATAGTTGAGCATTTCCTTCCCTCAATTATCTAATCATACAAGTTCATCAAGGTTAGGATAATGTATATATATGATTTATCAAAGCACTTACAGTACTTATGGAAGGCCGCAGGATTATTTATCTGTACTTTTTTTTTCTTTTCTCACATGAGGAACCCATTCGTTAGCTGAAGATTCAGATTTTGGTAGGCTATGCCCTACTTCTTATCAAAAACATATCTTCTCTTCACCCTTTTCTTATTAACATCTCCTAAAAAGCATCCTCATTATGCTTTTAGCATCAAATATCATTATTGTGGCAGCGTGGTCGAGTGGTTATCGCATTGGACTAGTAATTTAAGGATTACTGACCCCGTGGGATCAAACCCTGGTTAGGTCAAGCCATTGTTTTTGAGCACGAAACTTTACATTCATTGTTTAGTACTGGTTGGTTCCAGGAAGAGATTCGAGAGTGGTTTAATAAGCTTATAGCTTTGAACACAATTGAACTAAAATAAATTTGTTTAAACTAAATATTATTACACTGTATGACAGAGTAAAACACAGCTATGATACTTTGTATAACAAAACTAAGTATATTTATCTCAACTATTGGAAGAATAGTGGGGCTATTTCTCTCACGCAGTTTGCAACTTCTTGTAAGTTAATAATTTTGCTTTTAACTTCACACATGTCTTTCAGGATCAAAACGAAGGTCACTATCCAAGGCCCAACTAGCTGTTATTGAAAATTAACTACCAGAATGCTTTAAGATTACACTCATAGTCATATTTATAATCATCATCTGAAATAAAAAGAAATTTTGGAATTTATTTCAGGACACTTGAGCAATTGTCAATGCCAGAATTGTGCTGGTACCTCTGACTCTAAAGTATGTTACAGTTGTGGAACAAGGCCGAGCTCAAGTCCCAAAAAGACGACAAATCCTGGAGTGTCACTATTTATAGATGCCAAGGAACCTCTTCCTGAAGATTATGGGAATTTTCTTTTAAAGGTAAGATAAATATCAATATTAGGTTATCAATTAATGTTTGTACATATTAATAAATGATTTCAGGAATGTATAACCATACTCACCTGAATTGATTTAACCTTTGACCTACTCATGCGACCAGTTCAGACCAAGGTCAACCGGCATGGCATATCTGTGCTGCCTGATCATGGTCTGCACTGTTGGCTTATTTTGAAATTTTATCCAAAAATGATGAAATGTTATGTCAAGATTGAAAGATGGACAATTTTATTTAGGATATTTTGGGTGGTATGGGTTAATAGATGGCTCTACTTTGATTTTCAATTAGGTCATTAGTAAAATTCAGCATCAAAATACTTCACAAGCAAACAATATAGGGTTTGGTGAGGCAACTGGAGCATTGTAGGTTTGCAGGCTAGCCAAACTCTACTGGTGAAATTCGTGTGCTTTGATCACCCAACCTGCCCTCATGGTATGATTTCTTAGTTAACATGTCTTAGCCTTCATGTTTTTTTACCATTTGTTGTTGTTTGCATTTCTTTACAGTGTATACTCTGAAAACATGTCCTGCTCATATTATTTGCATACCTGATAGGTTGGTACAAATGAACACTAAAATTAGAAGAATGTTTTGAGCACATTAAGTACAAAAATTGTACCATGTCACCACTGGCTCACTTAATCTAATAATCCACTTTATATTAATTATAGATGTATTTCATTTTCAGTGTTTTAACTAAACAAACAGATATTCATCATGGACACATTATTGAGATTTTTTAAACTTTCAAGTATGTTTTTCAAATTGTAAGATTAGAGAGGGGCTTATAAATAAAAGAGATACTTAACATTACTAGACTAGAGTTCTTAAATACATTGTACCTCTATATAACAGGGTTATATAGACCTGAAAATATATAACAGGGTTATAGACCAAAAATATATAACAAGGTGACCTGGTCATATTGACCCTAAAATATATAACTCGAATATATATAACATATATAACAGGGTTATATGGATGCGAAAATATGTAACAGGGTTACATATTGTCTATTTAATTGACCCAAAAATATATCTTAAAATTATGTCAGGGTCAAAGAATTTTGTTACATATCATTTCCAAAGAATGTAACAATTCATGAAATTATTTTGACCCCCGCCCCCCCCCCCCCCCCCCCAAAAAAAAAAAAGAAAAAAAAACAAACAACAACAACACAGTTTCTACCCTCAGCTTCAAATACATACGTAAACACTATAGTAATTACTTTTGTCATTTAATGGTCTTAGGCTGAGATATGTTCATTAAGAAATCATATATAGAATTACGGCAGTGAATATTATAATGTCTTATTGGTTATTCGAACATGTTACTAATTTGAATGGAATTTATGGTATACATTTTTGATGTGTCAGATAAGATTGTTTTACATTTATAAGTAAACCTGTAGCATTTTCTTTATTTTCAAATTCAATAAATCTGAATACAGTATCCCTTGTACTGATTTATGCACTTAATATATTGAGGTTAAGTTTAAATAAGCTGTAACTCGTATTACATAATGAAAGAGTTACGTCAGTTTGGCACCGATCCATTGATATACAATGTATGCATATGAACAATTAAGTTTTATTTTTGACATTGACACATTGATTTACAATAAATACAAAAAGAAAGTACATTACAACCTAAAATACACTTAATATAAAAAGTATGTTCTTTTGGACACAATAGGCACTTGGCATAGATTTTGTAAAGAATAATTTACACTATAGGACATGAAAATAACTAGTACTTAATACAAAGTACAGTTTGTATGTACCTTTGGACAAGAAAAATACTTGACATAAGAAAAATACATTAGGACATGAAATATACTTTGTACAAAATGTACGTATATTGACATGTTGATGAAATGTACATTATGACATGTAGAAGAAATGTACATTATGACATGTAGAAGAAATGTACATTATAACAAGAAAGACACTTAGTATAGAATGAAATGTACATTATGACATGAAATTCACTTAGTAAAAAAATTAAGGATGTTAATTATTCAATATATAAATAAAATCAATGTACATAAGGACATGAAATACACTGAGTTTTGTTCCAGATCTCATATCTTAAAACATTTTGATGAAGATTCCATAAATAGCATAAATTTAAAAATACATTTTGTTGCAGAACCCAGATCAAGCATAAATTTTGAATACATTTTATTGCAGATCTAACATCTGGCATAAATTATGGATACATTTTGTTGCAGAACTCAGATCTAGCATAAATTTTTAATATGTTTTGTTGCAGATCCAACATCTAGCATACTAGTGAATTCTGAATACATTTTGATCTAGCATAAGTTCCTAAATACATTTTGTTGCAGAACCCACATCTAGCATAAGTTCCTAAATACATTTTGTTGCAGAACCCACATCTAGCATAAGTTCCTAAATACATTTTGTTGCAGAACCCACATCTAGCATACTAGTCAATATTGAATAAATTTTGTTGCAGAACCCACATCTAGCATACTAGTCAATTCTGAATACATTTTGTTGCAGAACCCAGATCAAGCATAAGTTCTTAATACATTTTGTTGCAGAACCCACATCTAGCATACTAGTCAATTCTGAATACATTTTGTTGCAGAACCCAGATCAAGCATAAGTTCTTAATACATTTTGTTGCAGAACCCACATCTTGCATACTAGTCAATTCTGAATACATTTTGTTGCAGAACCCAGATCAAGCATAAGTTCTTAATACACTTTGTGATGCAGAACCCACATCTTGCATACTAGTCAATTCTGAATACATTTTGTTGCAGAACCCAGATCTAGCATAAATTATGGATACATTTTGTTGCAGAACCCAGATCTAGCATAAGTTCTTAATACATTTTGTTGCATAACTCAGATCTAGCATAATTTTTTAATTTATTTTGTTGCAGAACCCACATCTTGCAGTATGGGATGGTATGAATACGCATGTGGTAGAGATAGATAAAGGTCACACGAAGGAGTTTGGTTTTGCTTTCAAAGTGAAGATAGGAAAGGTAAGTCCTGTATTTTAACTTGGTTCGAAAAATAGGCTACTACGATCTTATTGATCTACATGACTCAGCTGGAATAATGATATGACTCAAGAATGATTTACAATTTAAATCTTACAATATTGTACTTGAATCAGTTCAGTGAAAAAAATACAAAAAAAACCTGTTTAAACTGAACATTTGAGGTATTACGTCTACGTTATCAGACATCCTTTATACAGTTGTCTGACTCATTGAAATCTCATCTTGATATCTCCAGATTTGATAATGGACAGTTCCATAACAGTTAAATATATTGTTGTATGTATGAGCTGTGTCACGACAAAACCAACATAGTGAGTTTGTGACCAGCATGGATCCAGACCAGCCTGTGCATCCGCGCAGTCTGATCAGGATCCATGCTGTTCGCTATCAGTTTCTCTACTTGATTATACCGTTTGTAAGCGAACAGCATGGATCCTGATCAGACGGTGCGGCTGCGCAGGCTGGTCTGGATCCATGCTGGTCACAAACGCATTATGTTGGTTTTGTCGTGACGCAGCTCATATATACTTTTTATTTCCACTTTTCAGTGATTATAACATATTTGACAAATATATACATGTGCAAATTGTAAACAGTATTATTATTCAATTACATAACAAGATGAACATAGTTGACATTAGTGCGAAAATGCTGTCAATACAATATTTTAAGATATTATACATGTATTATAATAAAGTCTGATGTAAATATAATGCACTTGAAACATGTGGTTAAGACTTCAAGATTTCACAGAGTGATCAAGCTAACAATATTTTCAATTATTATAATAAGTTAATAGAAAATGTAGAATTTAAACAATACAATAGTCTAATGACTTTATAATACTGAATCTAAATATTGAAATTTAGGGACAATTCTAAGAAATTCAATACTAATGCAAAACAGACCAAATTAGCTTATTGTATGTATGTGTGATATAAATGTATTCACATATATTTTTCAGTCTTTGTACATATACTAGACTGACATTAAACACATATAAGTTGTTCTATTCCATTTTTAGCTCACCTGAGCTAGCTCAGGGTGAGTTTTTCGGATCGTTGAATGTCTGTCATCTGCTGTCTGCCGTCTTGTCATCCGACGTCTTTCCACATTTGTACATTAACAATGTAGTGGTCACATTTTTGCCTGAATCATCATCAAACTTTGTCAGGATGCTTGTCTAGGTAATTGCTCGGATGAGTTCGAACATGGGTCATCTCGCATGAAAAACTAGGTCCCAGGAGCTAATAATAGAAAAATCTTGTTAACACACTAATGGTTACTGTTTTGATCCAAATATCCTGGAAATTGGTCTTCAATTCTTTTGATGATTTCTAGGTCACAATCAATTATGGGTCACCTGTGGTCAAAAACTAGGTCACACCGCCCAAGTATGAAAAACCATGTTAACACTCTAGTACTCACATTTTGCCTCAATCATCATCAAACATGGTGAGGATGCTCATCTAGGTAATTGCTCGGATGAGTTTGAACATAGGTCATCTCAGATTAAAAACTAGGTCACAAGCTAATAATAGAAAAATCTTGTTTACACTCTAGTGACTACTGTTTTGATCAAATATCCTGGAAATTGGTCTGAAAGTTTGTTGTGATGATTTCAAGGTCAAGTTCGAATATGGGTCACCTGGGGTCAAAAACTATGTCACACTGCCCAAATATGGAAAAACCTTGTTAACACTCTAGTGGTCATATATTTGACTCAAGTGCCATCAGGATGCTTGTCTAAGTAATTGTTCAGATGAGTTCGAACATGGGTCATCTTTGATGAATAACTAGGTCACACTGCCCAAATATGGAAAAAAACATGTTTACACTCTAGTGGTCACATTTTTGGCTCATTTGTCATCAAATTTTGTCAGGATGCTTGTTTAGGTAATTGCTCAGATGAGTGTGAACATGGATCGTCCCTGATGAAAAACTAGGTCACAGGAGCTAAAAATAGAAAAATCTTATTAACTCTAGTGGCTACTGTTGTCCAAATATCCTGGAAATTGGTCTACAATTCTTTTGATGATTTCTAGGTCAAGTTCAAGTATGGGTCATCTGGGGTCAAAAACTAGGTAACACTTCCCAAATATGGAAAAACCTTGTTAACACTCTAGTGGTCACATTTTTAGCTCACCTGTCAGAAAGTGACATGGTGAACTTTTGTGATCGCTTTTCGTCCGGCGTCCGTCCGTAACCTTTTACTTTAAACGACATCTCCTCATAAACTGCTAAGCCAATTTCATCCAAACTTCACAGGAATGTTCCTTCGGTAGTCAACTTTAAAAATTGTTCAAAGAATTTAATTCCAAGCAGAACATGATTTAAGCATGATTCTGATCAGGATTTTATTGTTGGCATCCTTTGCACAGATTTTTCGCTTCTGTGATTCGATAATGATTGTGATTTGTTTGCCTATGATTTGTGTGGCGTACTGGAGTTAGGCGGCATGATCATGTCTTATTGACATTATTTCCGGCAGAAATGCCACTTTGTGGTAGACACTCTCGATAATGTAAGATTTTAAAATTTCACAGACATATTTAAATCTATAATTAACTGATTTTTGTTTTTTTGAGGTGAAAGATTATACAATTTAGATAAATGTTTGTTTTAGTGTTTTATTTACAGTTAAAATCATGCAACCATAAAAATTCCTGCGGTTGTCAGCCGTCTTAAAGTACATGGAGTACAGACTGTATAATTATTGTGTGGTTTTGAATTTTATGAGAAGCTTTTGCAAAAAAATAATGTTATTTTAATATAAACAGATCTGACACTTTAATTAAATTGTGAAAAAGTGTATATCCCACTGCAAGTATTATTTAATTAAGATTTAGAAAATGTCACAAATACCTGACTAGAAGTCAAGGTGAGCTACATCATCTAGTCAGTGTCTACCAAGTTTGTTCAAATAAATGCCCTGGGGTCAAAATTGGCCCCACCCTGGGGGTCATTGATTTTCCTTTTTATACGCCTGTTTGAAAAACGGGACGTATTATGGGAACGCCCCTGGCGGGCGGGCGTATGGGCGGGCGGGTGGCACGTCCAATTTTGTCCGGAGCATATCTCCTACATGTATGGAGGGATTTTAATGAAACTTCATAGAAATGTTCACCACTATGAGGAGCAGTGTCGCGCACATGAACCAGGTCTCTAGGTCAAAGGTCAAGGTCACACTTAGAGCTCATTGAAAAATGCTTGTCCGGAGCAAAACTTCCGGATGTATAGAGGGATTTCAATATTACTTGGCACAAATGTTCACCATTGTGAGGCGGAGTGTTGCGCACAAGATTCAGGTCCTTGCGGCCAAGGTCAAGGTCACACATAGAGGTCAAAGTTCAGATAAAAATATGAAGATGTGTATAGGGACGATTTAATCATCATTTATTGAGGGATTGTAACACAAATGGTCATTATCATGACTAAGGCTGTGACACATGTACTTTAGGTCAATATATGCAAGGTCAAGGTCACTAAAGATGGTGAAATATCCAGATTTTGTCTGGAACATATCTCCTACATGTATGGAAGAATTTTTATAATACTTTATGGAAATGTTCACCACCATGAAATGTATTGCTCCATGCATGATCCAGGTTTCCAGGTCAAAGGTCAAGGTCACACTTAGAGCTCATTGAAAAACGCTTGTCCGGAAGCAAAACTTCTACATTCATAGGGGGATTTCAATATAACTTGGCACAAATGTTCACCATTGTGAGGCTGAGTGTCGCATGCAAAATTCAGATCCCTGCGACCAAAGTCAAGGTTACACATAGAGGTCAAAGTTCAGATAAAAATTTTGAAAGATGTGTATAGGGACCATTTAGTCATCATTTATTGATGGATTGTAGCACAAATGGTAACTATCATGACTACAGTTGTGACACATTTAATTTAGGTTAATATTTGCAAGGTCAAGGTCACTGGAGATGATTAAATATCCAGATGTTGTCCGGAGCATATTTTCTACATGCATGGAGGAATTTTAATGTTACTTTATAGAATTGTTCCTCCACCATGAGACGTAGTACCCTGCACATGAACCAAGTCTCTAGGTCAAAGGTGAAGGTCACAGTTAGAGCTCATAGAAAAACGCTTGTCTGGAGCAAAACTTCTACATGCATAGAGGGATTTCAATATAATTTGGCACAAATGTTCATCATTGTGAGGCTGAGTGCCATGCATAAAATTCAGGTCCCTGCGACCAAGGTCAAGGTCACACATCCTGTGCATATCTTCCCTACTGATTTGTTTTAAGGTTCATTTAACAACACAGTGCCAAGAATAAAAACTTGCTTGCTAGATAACACTTATCCATAATGCCCCCATCTCCATCTAAAGCTTTCGTAAACGGGCGTATTTTGTGACTATGGCACCCTTGTTTGTATATAGTAAAAAACCCAAATAGCTAGAGCTTAGATATTAAGCATGAAACATCTTCTAGTGGGTGCCTACCAAGTTTGTTCAAATAAAAGCCCAGGGGTAAAAATTGGCCAAGCCCCAGGGGGTCATTGATTAATTTCCCTATATGTATATAGACTCAGTGGACATGTCCTCGATCAATTTTATTGTAAAATTACACCCAACAAATTAAATTTGCCTCATATGAGTAATATTTTCCGTTGAAAAATATCACCAGACACTCTTCTTATAAAACGTCATATTTTAATCTAGGGAGCAACCATTAAACATAACAATAACAACATAGGTCATAGACCACTAAATTTTAAATTTTCTTAGGATAATGGACACGTCGTCGATCAGCTCATTTTAACTTGATAATGTAAAAAAATGTTTAAACTAATACTTTTATGACAAAATTTGGAGTTTATATTTAAAAGAACTGTGAATAAAATAGAAATTAATTATTTGAGATCTTTTACTGGGATCCATGCGTTTATCACCTCCATGACTGATAATAATCTCTCTTGCAACATTTTTTTTAAAAATAATCTAGAATGAGGACA